AGAAATACAATAGATAATATCACTCAATCTGTCTTTAAATTAATTAACCGTATTTAATCAAGATAAACTACAAGTAAAATGCTTGCTATATCCTATATAGCAGATTAATATTCTAATATGTATGCGAAAAGAAGTGTTACTTTACATTTATATTTAGTACATAATACATTCACAATTCATTACTATGTATGATTATTTGCGTCTTCAATGTTTTTTGTTGAGACTTTTCGATTAAATGAAAAAGTATAATCTAGGAATTTTCAGTTATTAGAAATATTAAACTAAATTCAAGTATTGGAACATTGTAAGCTACAAATATTCCCAGCTTCAATAGCTACAGAATTTGCTTTTAATAATTGAATGCCAGTGTGATATACCTAGTCATCAAATATACATCGCTTTGATACTTTCGTCTACTTTATATTATCACTTTTTTTCCTCATTCTCTTCCAAATCTAAACATTTAAATGACCGTGAGTACCAGCAAACAGGCATTTCACTGACAAGATTTGTACTGTTATCATCGGCTCTACGAGTATTTCAACTAATACTGTCCAATCTCGAATACATAACATCGCTTTATTTTTGTATGTCATATCTACCGAACAAAAACTGAATTTCACGGTTTATATGCCACCTTAACCTTATGTTTTTAATTAATGTCTGGTCACTTAGTTTACTTAATTACTAATTATCAGTTGTCATCAGTATTAATGCTACGAACAGCCTTAACTCAATCGTGGCAGTATAAATGATATAATAGGAATCACAACGCAGTGTAGACTCTACTTAATTTAATATCAGCCAATCTCGCATGCTTAGTCGAGCATTTCCTCCATATATCTCAACGACTCAGATTCTGCTATCATACTTAATACACTACAGTAGCCTTATGCTTCTAATCAATCTTTGGTCATTACATTTAGATATTGCCTATCTCCTACGTATTACTAATTATCACTAATAGTTTTTCACGAATCTTCTTGGTAGCATCATTACAATTACAGATGACTATTTTCTTTTCATTACTTTATTGCACTATCAACTCAGGCCTGTTAGTTAAATCACTGGCTGTGATCTATTTATACCAACATAATGCATTCTCATGAAAAAATAGTAATAAGGAAAGCTTTGTTTTTATTTTATTAAGCTCATTTACATCATTCCAGACATACCTAATCTAAAAATAATTATTCTGTTTAAATTATCAGCCAAAATGTATAATCCAGTACGGCAACGGGGCGATCTCCAATGGCAGTTCTCACTACTATTTCATAGAAAAAGAAAATTCAATCTTAAATACTATTAACAGATAAGCTGACTTCATAAAAATCAAAATTGTATTCCATTCGATAAAGAAAGCATCTATACCATAAAAAAATACCAATTTAAATTTTCTAGATATGCTAAAAAGCGTCGCTTGACAGAACTCCCGTGCACTAGCTTAGACTGTAAGAGAAATATGCAAGCATAAGCTGTTAGTAGAAATCCCTCAAATTCTATTTTGGCAGTAATCGTATGAAACAGTTATTCTCATTTAAAAGAAGAATAATACTTACCTTCTATCCATCCTGTGGTTATTACTAGCATTTACCATTTCGAGGTTGCATTTATCACTAATATCAATATAAGTATTCTCCACAGAATATATTTAACTGTTACATCTAATCTAGCAGTAACGATCTGGAAAAATTTTATCCATCCATTGGTACAGAGAAAATATCATCCCCGCTTAAAAGATGGTCATAACTATCGACTAATTTTAAAAAGATGTGCGAAAAAATTTAGGTAGCATAATCCCGGCTTACATTGAGGCATAATATTTTTACTAGAAAGCACGAATATACTGGTTAAGATTATAGCTATTATAGAATATATTAAATTATCGACTGCATAGATCTTATATAAGGGTGGGAAAATAAGTTAACTCAGGCCATCTTCGGTCTGAAAATATTACTGTAGTTCATTACAGTATAAGACATGTTCATCTGAAGCAAAAATGAAGTTCCAGTGTTGCCAATATTCTATCATATCACGTTTTTAGTATGTCATTGCAATAACGCTTGGCATTCAAGGGTTAATAAATGAAGATTAAAAGTTTCAGTTTTTGCCATTATATATTTTATAGATTTTTGTTACGAACGTAAATATTGATAACTCCCAGCAAGTTAAGGCGATTTAGTAACTAAAAATTTGAATAAGGTCATTCACTTAATATTGGACATTTTACATTAATCAGGTATAAAAAATATTCTATACCATGTCATGTAGTATTATAAAGGCCAATGAGCACCTTTAAAATATAAACGCTATATTTCTATGATGGTATTTAGTGAATCTCAATTTACATTTAATTAAACAGCGCTCCAATTGACACATTTAAAGATAATTAGACCATATAATAGCTGCGAGATTCAGGCAGATTTGGGCCGTGGCACAGTCGAGTCCAGTCCAGTCTCGCCTGTCTCGGTCATCGATTTTATGAATTAAAATTACTCCAACGAATTTAGATAATAAAATACAATCCACGGGTTTTATTGTTTCTTTTATATTTATACTACCTCCAGTTTCAGTAGGTAAACAATAATATGCCACTTATTATTGTAGTAGAGTAATTGATGATGAAAATATTAATTTATAGATACGTATAAAGAATCTATCAAGCCGCAGCGGTTACAAAAATGAAAATTATTTAATTAAGTGCAACTTAAAATTTCATTACGGATTACCTCGCAAATTAATGTCAGCCGTGGGATGAATTTGATTACACATTCAGATGAATACTACCACTCAGTATGTCTCGATACTTATTATTGATAAACAAGGTCATCCATAGAACTAATGTCGCTAAGTAAATGTTAGGAAACATCGTTCATTCAATTTAAATACAACTTACAACACATTTGGATTATATTACAGTATTGATGAATCAGCCTTTCGTCACTATAAGATCCTTATTCCCAAATATATTAATAGTATGATACACTAGGTTACGATTTGGCTACAATTCTAATTCACTGAATGATTTTTATAATTATCAGACAAACAGGAAATTACTCGAGGAAATAATTATTCATTAAAAATAGCTAGTCTAGTACCCGTTCAAATGAGCAGGAACGTATGCTACACAAAACATTACTATGAAACAAAATTCATAGCTAGGTTATCATACTATGCATGAATCCCTTCTTCTTAGTGTGCCTAGACAGCTACTACTTACAATGATGCATCAAGTCGTTACTGGTATCGGGATTTCAATTTTCAGTCAAATACTACTAACGAACAGCTTTATAATATTTTTACTCTATATCCTTGAAAAAATGAGCTGGTTCTAATACATTTTACAGTGTTGCGTTGAAACACTACACAATAAAATTAGGTTTATTATAATAGAATACCTTAATACGATTATTTTACTACAAATAGAATCAATATAATAGCAATATTGATTCACAAACTCCATCACGGAAACGAAATCCTACAAAACATCTACAATTACCACCTTAATTTAAACAGCTTCTAACCCTTCCAATTTTTGTCAGGCTTGTTCAGTAAACAATTGCCGATATCACAGTATATTCTTTGTATCGCAAAATATAAATCCTATAATATAGAAAATCGTTACATACTTAATAGAAGTTTTAGAATAGGACATGTATGCAGTCAGAATGTCTAGATGTAATTGGTGATGCAGATTATTAATGTAAAGCGTAGAAGAAGCTATTATTAGTTAATGCTTGATATTATGGATATATTACATGTTTTACGCTATGACTCCAAATTATGGATTTGCATAATTGTATCCTTCATGAAATTAAGAGACGAGTAGTTCCGGAATTGAACTTTGGGCTTCGTCTCCGAGTATATTATACAGTACAGTACAAGGGATATTGTCTTACTATTACAAAATCTGTCTTGCTTTGATGCGAGTTTATGACCATAAAGGCGCCGAAAAAGACACAACGGAATAGAATTTGGATAATCTAAAGAATTTTTATTATTTAAATGTTTTATTTTTATAATTATCTAGAGGATATTTAGCTGTTTTAAAATCAATAAATGAAAAGTCCATACAAGTATCTTTCTGTTTTAAAGACAGGACTGAAGTGACCTTGTAAGTGAAAAGGGATCAATCAAGAAAACTTCCCACACAGATGAATAAACGTATTGCATATAGATTGTTACATGCGTATTATTGTATTAAAGGAAGTTGGCTTAAACCTTACTACGAAGGAATATGTTTACTACATTGCAAGCAATAAATAAGTACAAACGTCGGTAATGAAACTAAGTAAAATAAATTTTTAACACTTTAATGAACATTTAATTGCCGTTAAAATTTACTACAAAATTAGTAGTTAAAGGAGTAGAACTGAAGAATTTCATTTCATCAAGAGTGGCAAGAATTAAAAAATAGATATGATCTTAATGGAACAAATACTTAGTTCGTTAGCATAGCTAATATACTATGCAAAGGCAGATACGTCGTTACATTAATTAAAGAAAATTAAGTCAGTAAATTAACATTTTATGAGACAATTTGTAATTTTAGTGCATAATGAAGTTATCAGTACGAATAGAGTATTGTTCTTATAGGCATGTTACTCAATATTTCATCAAGCTCATATTTTTACTCTAATAAAACTAGAATAAATAGAATTTCAAGTCACTGTAAGTGAAGATTTATGTGTAGCATTTGCAACCACTACTTTTCTACTTAGTTTATAAAATAGGATAAAACTGAATTACAAAAAGTAAATAATTTTTAAAGTTTTCCTTACCGCCCTCTCATTGTATATAAGATACGGTAGATAGCAAACCTACGTATGTTTAAAGTACGAATATTTTTTCTCGTATCTATAAAGATATACCATATTTTTAAGAATTGTAGCAAGAGTAGTCGCTTACAATGGTCAAAGTTAAATTAATACATCTAGAATGCAGAGTTATATTTGCCGTCAAGACAGATTTTAATCGAATGATTTAGAATATTATTGACTAGATGTATTATGGCCTTCCTTTAATATGTCCTCTAAATGTTTAATATAACGGATAGCGGCACGTAGTGTTTCTACCTTTGATAATCGTTTTTGGTTGAATTTTCGTGGTAAATGATCTCTTAGTTTGGCATAGCCTTCATTGACGTGACGAACACGAATTCGTTCCCGTTCATTTCTTTTATGAATAAACGAGGGTTCTGAATTAAAGTCTAGGCAAGGCGGAAAAGGGATAACATTCATCGACCGACTAGTAGATAATGAAGAATGGTGTTCGATATCTTGCTGATGAATTGTAGATGTCACTTGACTTGAACTAAAATTTATAGAATTAGCACTAGCACTAGCTGTTACAGTTATTGCTTGCGTGGGGGTATGATTATTTGTCGATTGATGAGAATGAGAATGTTGTTGAGAATAATTTGCTGTTGTTGCTTGAATTGGCAGGGATACCTTAGTCGTGTTATAATCGTTTCCATTAGGACTAGAACTTCTATTAGCACTATAATCACTAGTATGTTGCTGAAGGGAAGGCTGATGACGATCGAAGCTCATTGCGAAAGAAGAAGTAATAGCCATTCGATAGTATTGAAATGATTATGAATAGAAAAATTCTGGATTAGGGATAATAAATAGCGATTCGAAGACGAGATTCACCTAAAAAGTCGAAATAGGTAATAACGCAATTGATTAACTATACGCTAAATACTAAATTCTAAACTATACATCACGTTCACTTTCTAGAATTTTAAGTATCTATAAACAGAGAAGAATGCTCGTTTATTGTATGCTTCCGTAATATAATGGTAACATTTAACCAAAATAATCAATAGTAAGTTTTAAAATAATATCGCACTATCTAAAGCATGTCATTTTGAGCTTATTTTTAGAATACTAAATTAAATATATGCTTAATATTGACCTAAAAGTATTTAAAATTAATAAATTTTTGAATATTTGGTGCCACTTTTCCACATAGAATAATGAATAATTACTGCAATTACATTGGAGAGTAGAGTGTGTGCTGAGTCAAGTACGACGTATGAATGCGGATTTTTACGTCTATGTTACAGCAGTAACATTCTACTGGTGAACACTAATTTACCCATTTCTTTTTCTCTAATAACATAGAAAATATTTCGGTCTCAACTCTCTTGAAATAACAAATTACTAGATAAGCTGATTATCTCTTTATGAATTCATTTTATATCAGGTATCAGATATACCACAAATTAAATGTAAACTTTTTGAGTTATCAATCGCATTCATCGCCATAAGAGGAACCAAGAAATATTACGGAATACCATAATTTATTTTCAATACAGATTACTTATAAGTAGGGCGAATATTAACACTCGAGTAACGATATTCTTTTCTGGCAACATTAAGTAGGGTAATATTCTTGATCGATACTGAAAGATATCTTACTAAGCCTGACATATAACTCTAAGCTTAAAATCGTTTCATTGTCAAAAAGCAGCAAGTTAATTAGTTATTGAATCACCGAATCACCCATGGAGAAAATGACGAGAAAAATTAGATCGATAAGACGCCTTATCTTTTCATGAGTCAAACTTTATATTATTATATTAAATGGCAACTAAAATATCAAATTATTTCAGCCCTATAACTTCAATTACAGAATTATGGTATAAAATTTTGAAGTTTTTGATAACAAAATTTAAAATATTTGCGAAATTCAAGATAAAATAACAAAGTAAATTTAATATAAATTATCATTGATTATAATATTGTCGAGAATAAGGTCTTAATGCATTAAAAATTTAGATCTGTAATCTTACAAGGATTCATATTGGGTTATATGATAACTAGGCTATTTGCATGATATATTTAAAATTCTAACCGAGGATGAATTTATCACGTAATAAAGGTAATACATGTAGAACTGAAATAAAATTTTTCTTTTATAGTATTGTACCCTGACTATAATTGCTGATAAATATTGTCGATTTTGACTAGTCTTATTAAACTTTTCAACATGTGTGACTTACTTGATAGAGGTAGCTTTCCAAATAGGTGATAGAAAGCCAAGCTAACTAATTGATAGCGATGAATCGATCAATGGAGATCCAAGAAATAAAAATTTTTGATTGCAGTTCACGTTGTCACCGGTATTTGAATCCTGGATGTAATATGTCTTTTTTAGCATAAAAGAATTAATCGGCTACGCTAATCAATTTTAAACAATTTACTAAGATACCGTGTCTGATAGATTACCAGTCAATATTGAATAGCTGGCACGATAATTGTTTGACTACTGATTTAACGAATGCTTCTATTTTCAACCTGTATTTATATCCTGCCACCCGCCATACAAACCATCTCGAGTAATGATTTGGTATACTCCTAGTGCGATAGCAACGCAAAACTATTATGGAACTGACCTACTTACCGAAGTTGAAAGGACTTGTATTAATTTAGGGTGGGGATTATGGAAGATGAAGGAATAAAATATCGTATGGTAGACGTCACTTTTGAAGCCAATAATATCGCACATCTTAAATCAATAATTAGAACAGAATGTCCATTAAATAAAATAAAAGAAAAGTTAAAACGTCTTCAATGATTTATGAATTAAAATGATCTATTCTACTCATTCTATTATTCAAGACAGCAATTCTACTCTATTGATCAGCAATACACAGGTGTATCTAGATCATTTTTTAAAATTATATACTACCAACCTTCCGTTGAAACAATACCAAGTTGAAAAATCTGATATTAAAAACCATGGATGATAATGATTTTATATTAATATGTTTTACAATCTTAGCTAGAGTTAATCTTGAAAATATGGATAATATTGACAATTTTATTTCAAAGTTTTTTCATTATCTACTTAGAAAATGAGTTGATATCCCAGCTTAATGTACTATAAATTGGATGAAATAAGCATTCTCATTTATTTAATATTAAAATAAATTGCAATTTACGTTTAGAATTACAGAATAGAATAATGATTCAAAGTCATCTACAAGCAAATAATTCAAAATCATTATTTTTATTCTCCTCTTCCCTACAGTGCTATAGCTTTTATTGATTTAAGCCGGTTGTATTTCTAAAATGAATGATGGACAGATAGATAAAATACAACGAATTAAGACAATTATCTTCCTTAAGCGGATATTACTAAGCTCAGCCAACTCATTGTGTTCAGATGTATTAATAAAAATGAAATGGCCCGTACGGTAGAGGATGTAGAAAGTAATCAAGAACAGGTCAAATCTGTTACATCCGATGAATTGGATATTAGCATAATAATAGCAAGATAGTTTTATAAAAGTAACAGTAGCTCTTGCAGCTTTCATCGACAGCTCTATTCTCATATTTAGTACTGTTAAAAGATATAGATGTCAATTTCATCACGTCTTACAGGTATAGCCACAATACTTGGTGCCGATATCTTTTAAGAATGTAAATACAGACTATATATGGCGTCTAATCAGATATCCCATAGATACCCACATTAAACAAACGTAAACTTAATTTACTGTTATTTATGAATTAATTCAGATAATCATTAAATAATGATTAAATAGTATTTAAAAATACTTTTTTATCTATCCTGTAACTCATATCTTATAAGCGCGCTTTTTGTTATCCACACACATCAACTACCGTCTATCTACCGTATAATGATGGCTTATTATCTTAGCACAACGCATTATCAATCGTAAAATATTTATCTGGCATCGTCAATAGAATTCTGTATCTGAATTTTGGACATATTTCGACTAATTATGAATCTATCTTGTATTTTGTGGAGTGTAGTATTTTCTTTATCTTGTAAGATTGATGTACAGTAGTTTACCGTCGTGTTGCAGACGTATCCAACTGTGTGTAGACATAATTAGATGGACTTTGAAATGTAAACTCAATGTTGAATTAAACTTGGATCCAGTTACCATTTCATTGTAACAGAAATTGATTAAAGAAAAAAAATTTAGTCTAATTATGCATTGATTACACGTCGACGGTTCGTTTACTAAATAAACATTAAAAAAACGTTCAATACTAGCCAAATGGATTTTATTGTTATCACGGGTGTCCAAATTAGATAACAATAGTTCAAGTAACGGCATGACGAAATGATATCTAATAATGACATTGATAGTTCTTAATCTACTTTCACCTTGACTTACATCGTTAAAAGTTGTTCATAAATCAATAAGAGCATCGACGAAAATTATTCATCTACTCCTTTGCATTTGCTAAGAACCCTGACTAATTTACTGACAATTACTAGAATCTTACAACTAATAAGCTTACATATTGAAACGTACTCATTATTAACAGATGTGACTTATTATCGACGATAATAATTTATTTCTAAGCTTTGAAAAGGAGCTAGACGAATCTGGTATATCCTACTCTTGGGACACATTCAATCGCAAGATTATCTGCACCTTATACAACTAGTTTAAATTTTCAGCTAATTATTTTAAGTTAATTACGTAGGAAACGAAATGACTTAAAATAATATGCCCAATCACTCAAGAAACGGCATGCTTTAATAAACAAGTGCCAGTAAACTAATTTCTATTCATGGACTCTGTACTATATAAAGTCGATATCCAGGTCCTGTCCAAAGTTAAACAGATATTATAATTTAATAACTTATAATCTACTTTGTTAGCGCACCATTACGATTTATCAGCACTAATCCTAAAAGATACTTTTATCGATAGAAAATTCTTTTGTCATCGAGTGCACCTTGTCCTGTTTTAATTTTAATATTCCTTTTGATCCTCGTAAATTTCTAATTCTATTCGCGAAAATGCCAATTGAAGTAGAAAAGAATTAAATTTTAGCTTGATTAATATACAATAAAATAAGAAATTGAAGATGAATGTACCATGATCAAATTTACTTACAATTGACGTCAATAAATAATTCAATATTTGATGTACGAACTTTGCCATTTTTATCGCCATTGAATAACTATAATGACGATTTTGTTGACACAGCTTACACATCTTGCTAAAGTATAATAGTATCCACCTTTAATAAGTTAAATTAAATTTTTCTATTGTCTTGAATACATTGGCGTGGACAAGAAGTTTACTTTAGTTAAAACTGATGATCAGGCAGACGGAACTTATATATCGCAACGTAGAAAATTAACTTCGTAGTGAATTACATTAGATAGCTTGTATATTTTAAAAACTATATTAGTGACACACAACAGCCAAAAAATCTATATTGTAGAGAATTATGTTCGATTATTCTTACGTTGATGCTAGTAGGAACGT